GGTCCGGGCTGGGGATTCGAACCCGCCACCTTAGGTGTACGTGGCTGGCGCCTTAGCCGGTTGAGCTATAGGCGCTGAGCCGAGAGGCCAACTCTTAAAGAAGATCCATCCTCTTATTAGTCCACATGGAATAGGTCCATAGTATCTCGAATCTGTAGAATTCTGTAGATTGTCACCTTCTAACCAAACACGACCTTTTGGCACACAACTATGGCTTTTAAAGAAATCTGATGAACTAGTAGTGAGGATTTTGTCTCCTTCCAAACCAATTACTCTTTTACAAATATTTGATTTTGGATCACTTGGGCTTTTTGCAATCATAATGTCACCTCTGTGGATACTACAGAAATGTCAACTAAGATTTTCTGCAAAGACAATATCTGAACTTTTAATTGTAGGCTCCACTGATGGTCCAGAACACATAACACCACCACCAACGTATTCCAAAGCACAATGAACTATACAGACATACTGAATAGTATAGCCAACAAGTTGAAAGGTTTTTCCCAGAATACCACAAAGTATAGTTCTATGTAGACTCTGCCACATTCGCCATAGGTCTGTTCTACAAAACATTCAATATTTAGAAAAGTTGCAGGACTTAAAGAAAAAAAAAATCTAAAGCACATCACAAAGCATATGTGAGTGATCCATGATTTCAGATTCTTCTGTCCTCATAGAACCCCGGAAGACCCTCTATTGTTAGAGTTTTTTAACAGCTATATATTACAGCATAAACCCATGTACATAGTTGAATAAATGGATAATGATGGCCATTCTTTATGTTGTAAAATGATTCACCAATCATACAACACTATAATGCAATATATTCATGTTTTAATTAATTCAGGACTGGCTGCCTTTGAGAAGCTAGCAAGAGAACACAGTGCACCTCATGGACTTAAGTGAGTTTTTAAAACAAACCTAGCACAGGCATAAAAATACCAAACAAGGGTGGCACCTGTGGCTCAAGGAGTAGGACGACGGCCCCATATACCGGAGGTGGTGGGTTCAAACCTGACCCCGGCCAAAACTACAAAAAAAAAAAAAAAAAAATCAAAGAAAAGCTAGAACCCTTTGTTTAGTTTTCATGGTAGCAAAATATTTAAATTAGAAATATTTTATTTCTTGCTTTATTAGAAAGGTGTAGTAAATGAATCTAAGATTCCTGTATTTTATGTCATTTCCTATGAAATTAAATTTAAAACCACATAACTACCACTACTCTAGTCAAGAATAAGCTAAACTTTTTGGCTTTTGGTACACAGCTAATGCTTTAAGTTTTCAAGAGAGTCAAGTATATCACAGAATTTTTGCAATTTTTAAGTATAATAATGTATATGAGAGTACTAGTTAAGAGAAAAGTATTATACAAATGTAGGGGACATTTGTAAAATACTTATAAGTATTATAACGGCTGAACTTTATCTATTTCATAAGTCATGAAATTGAGGAACAGATAGTAGAAGTTAATTAGGAAACAAGAACCAAAAGCTAAAACTAAAATCAAAGGCTGAGACAGGTAGACTGTTTGAGCTCAGGAGACCAGCCTGAGCCAAGAGCAAGACTTGTCTCTAAAAATAGCCAGGCTTTGTGATAAGCACCTGTAGTCCCAGCTACTTTGGAGGCTGAGGCAAGAGGATCGCTTTAGC